CTACATGGGCGCAATGTGAACAAGCAAAAACAAGTGCAAACCGTACCACATACAAACACCCACTTTTGGCAATCACAGCCCACCTGATACGAAATATCCAATATACAGCAGTAACTGAAGAAACGTATGTTGGCCACTCAAATCGTCACCTCCGGTGGCACATCACCAGGTCCCGTCCGTCTCATGCTAAGCGGCGCTTAGCATCATCAGTGAGTCTGATGCTTCTGATAATCAGTCCTTACCACCTTCACAAACGTTGCTTCTGACTAAAAAGTGGCCATGAAACCTGAAGTTAAGAAACACATGCACTACATAGTAACGTGAACGCTTTCCCCCGGCCGCTTTTCATCGGACGAATCGCCCGCCATCACTTGCACGAACACCAGGGAGTCCAAGTCTTCCGCCGAGCGTAAGTTCAGGTCCTCCGCGCCCCTTACTCTCCGCCGATGCGGGGGAAGCGCGCGAGGATCTTCCTTCGGTTTCCGCCTAGCTGCATCCAGCGCCTTCCGCACGGCCGCTTGGTGTAGGCGGACGAACGCGGGATGCGGGCGAAGCATTCCTGCGTGGTGCGCCTTGATCACACAGTCGCTCCCGTCATCCGCGCCAGTTTTTCCGCCTGTCTCGCCGCCACCGACGGCGTCAGCAGCGGCGTCGGCGGCGTCGGCGGCGTCGGCGGCGGCGGCGGCGGCGGCGGCGGCGGATTCGGCGCTAGTGGCGATGTTGCTCGTGATCATGTTCTCGGATCGATCCGCGCAGGGGACCACGTTATGCACGCGGATCCGCGGGGTTTTAACCAAGATGCCATCTTGGCTTTTCTCAATGCGAACGGAATGGACGTGCTGGATGATGAAGAGCAGGATCGCGATGACGAATCGTACGGCTGTTGCTGCAGGAGCGGGTGCGACGGAGTTACGTCCGAGACATCGGTTACGGTGAAACAATGTCAACATCATGTCTCGTCGAGCGGATCCAGGGTCAAGCGCTTTTGCGACGAAGACGATTCTCGCCAAATGTTTAAGAACCAGGTTACCAGACCTTGGAAGTGAGTCAATTTTCCAGGGCAAGAGCTCCTCTATTCTAACCTTTTGACTCGCGGTGATAATCGGCGTGGCGAGGAAGGTTGGATATGGGAGTGACTTCTTGCCTGCGCCTTTCGCCTCAGAAAGAAATCGTTTCAGACTCTCGGAGGAGAATGACCACTTCAAGAAGAAAGAAAGATTCATATCATCGCCCGGTGAGGTCTCGTTTATCCCATCGGAATAACGACGGCTGATGGCAAGGTCGTCAACGACGAGCGTGAATGTCACAAACGTACGGTTTGGCCGGCAAAGCTCTTTACTGCTGTAAATGTCTACTTCACGATGCGACACAATGTAAAGCTTGCACGTTCTCCATGTTCTCTAGTCTGCTCTAAAGAGTCTGGACGTCTCTTTCCATGTCTACGGACGAGCATCAACTTGACCACTTGACCCCATAAAGTCTTCTAAACTGATTGACTATTTCTCACTCTCCCAGTGGCCGATTTGGGAGTGAACTGCGAGCGGTTGGCAGGATGGTACTGTAAGGGGAAGAAATAGGTGCACAGGACGCTTGATGGGCTTGCTTGATTGACAACGGAAACGATCTATGGCTTTTACAGACGGTTCTCGATAGTCACCGTTCTAAACCATTGCGCACCAGCATGTACCTTTCACAATCAATAGTGAACGAACGAAAATGAACCGCCCTGAAGAGAATCAGAAGTCGATTTCAACCGATTGAAACCTTTTTGAATCTCACGAAGTAGTCCCGCCTCGAATCGCAGGTCCTGGACCAGGCCAGAATGACACAACCCCAAAGATTCAGCGCGTAGCAGAACTGAGGTCGTACACCTCAATCTATGTTCATATTGCGCGCAATCAGGCTTCTAGTTCTCCACCAGACCGAGCTTCCCTAAAATTCTCGAACTGGAACGGTACTGGGTGTGGAAAGGGCTGGTCATTTCCCATAGGGCGTGCGTCCTTGACATTTTCTTCTCGGAGAACGGGGGTGATGTAATCGTTATAGGACATCCCAGATGGTGCTAATACCTATCACGTCAAACGATATTGTCGCGCTTGAATTGAAAACCTTTCACGTCACTATTAGCAATATTGCTGACAAATGCAACTTGTATCCCAACCCGTTACTTGGCTGCCTGACACCATGCTAACCAGCAATAGACCAGCATGCCAACCAGCAATAGACCAGCATGCCACGTCTGATGTCAACAAAATATCCTAATGCAATACAGGCTACAGAAGAAAACCACCATCTGAATAACTTGTTTCAGTGCTCCGTTTTTAAATGTTCTTCAAAAACAGACCCACAAGGGTGCAGTCCTATCCGCGTACCGCAAAACGCATAATACCGTACTGCACCACATTAACCCTAGCAAATGGTATCTCTCCTTTTGTGATGCAGGCTTTTTGTTTGCGCAGTAGGGATGTACCCTAATTATTTCCCCTGACTGCGTTGAATCGACTCCAGTAGATGCTCCATCCTCACTTTCATCACCACCTGCCCGCTTTTCGTCCTCTTCCTCATCTGCCCTCTCAACTCCCTCCTCCTCCTCTCCACCTCCTCCCTCTTCCTCCTCCCCTCCTCCATCTCCCTCCTCCTCGCCTCCCTCTCTGCCGCCTGCCTTGCAGCCTCCTCTTCTCTCTTCTTCCATATCCTTTCCAGCCGATTCAACGGCCTCTGGCTCACACCCTCTCCTCCTCTCCCACCCTCAACACCCCTTGCATTTTCACCCGCCATCCCTCTCTCTCCTCCTCTCCCCCCTCCCAGTCCCCGGCCTCGTCCCCTCCCTTTGCCCACACCGCCCCTCTCCCACTCCTGTGCGCCCTCCTCCCGTTTTGATCCCATTCCCAGGCCACCAACCTCTTGGTCCTCTACCCCTGCTCCTTCCTCCTCCTGTTCATCACTAGAAACGTCATCCTGACCCGCTTCCTCTTCCTCCTCCTCTTTCTCCTCTTCCCCATCCTCCCGCTCTACTTCCTCTTCCTCCTCCTCCTCTTCCTCCTCTTCCCGTTTCCCCTCTTCTCCCTCCTCTTCCGTCCTCCCATCGCCCCCCGCCAGTCCGTTCGTCCGGTCGGTCCCTGACGCCTTTCTCTCCCGCCCAATCATCTTTCGGTATTTCTGCACAGTTCTCGCATCGTTTAACACTTTTCGTCGTTTCCCTGCCGACAAGAGCAGATAGGGTACAAGGTTCAGGGCTTTTGAGTTGAAAGTCTGTGCACGCTTTTTGAGAAATCTCAAAAGCCAAGGGATTGGGTACAGGGTTCAAGGTTTACGGGTTAAGAAATTGGTTAGAGTCTGTGCACACTAAGGAATGCAAATGGTAGAAACAAAGGACAGGAGGCACAACACTTTGTTAAATGCTTCGTGGAAGTCAAATAAGTACTTGAAACGGCAAATTTCAGGTCGACCAAGTTGTGTGCCTTAACCAGAATAGGGAAGGGGGTGCGGGGGAAGGGGACAGGGGAAGCGGGGGAAGGGGGCAGGGGAAGCGGGGGAAGGGGGCAGGGGAAGCGGGGGAAGGGGGCAGGGGAAGCGGGGGAAGGGAGCAGGGGATGCGGGGGAAGGGGGAAGAAGCGGAGGCGAAGACCGGGGAAGGAGGGAAGGGCGGCGGGGGAATGCAACGCACGGAGCTCATTGGCGGAAAGATGCGTCCGCTGCGGCGCCATGTATCTCTTCCGCCCGCGGAAACCCTTCCGCACTCCCCCGTCCGCGCGCGGAACATACTTCTCCAACACGCCTAGCCGCAACACTCCACCGCCTCCCCTTCCCCTTCCGCTTCCCCCCCTTCCGCTTCCCCCTCGCCCCCTCGCGCCTCCGCCCCTTCCCCCTCCGCCTCCGCCCCGCGCGGCTGAAGACGGGGTAAGGGGTTTTTTCATGTTGCAGATTCTAACGACTTGACGTAGCTTTTCCGTCAAATAAATCGAACATGTATGCTCGTAAGTGTGTGCGGGGGTAACTTCTTCGCGACACGATAAAAAGTCCCTCTACGGCAACTGTAGTAGACGCCTAAATTTACTTCGACGCCTTCAGAAATATTCACACGCCTTTTCTGTGATTTCTTTTTTTCAGTTGTATTTTCGGTCTTGGCCGTCCGACTGGGTCTATTCGAAAGTCGTATGCTCCCGACGTCCTTGCGACAACTGACGATGAGTGTCGCACAATGCACCTGTGGTAATCACGGAGGTGGATTGTCCTGGGAAAACACGCGAGCCCCAGCAGCCGCTGTTGCCACTGCCGCTTCTGTTCAGCTGCGGCTTCTGCGGTTTATGCCAGGCAATTCGACTGCATAACCTTTCGACTGGGCTTTTGCAGCAGGTCAGTAGCGCGGTGTGAGCGACACGATTCTGATGGTTCTGGGCTCTGAGGTTTGGGAGGTTTGGGAAGTTCGAGGGTTTTCGGGAAGCGAGTGTAGCGATTCATACAAGTGGTACAGAAAATCCACGAGGCGATAAAACCTATTAGAACAAATAACGGTTTCATTACATAATATGACATGGATGTTTCACTCCTAAAAGAGAAACAGGAGGTGAGGGATAATTCCGAGTCACAAATCACAACAGCACGGTCAACTTTCCCCAACAGTCTGGAACACCACCAGTGTCAGAAAAATCGCTCCCAATCATTGCAAACTCCTGCTCCGCACATGCGACGAAACAAGCTCACTGCTACCCTCATAACGGCCACACAGCTGTAACGACAGCGCCAACTGGCAGTGCTAAGAGGAAGCGCAAGTGGCGAAGGCAGTTGGCAGCTACGGTGATGGCAGCAACAGCGGTGGGCGGCAGCAACAGCGGTGGGCGGCAGCACAGCATCTCTCACACACTCTCAGGCCCTTGCTCCAACTGCCGAACCCCCAATAGTAATTGGGAGGTCGGGTAGCCGCAAAGCGCCAGCAGCTGCCACGCTCTCAGGCCCTTGCTCGACTACCCGCCCCCAGCCGCCCCCCCAACGGCACACAGCTAGTAGTTGGGGGGCGGGGGTGGCTGCCAAGCAGCAGCAGGGCGCGGCAGGAGGCCAGGCGAGTATGGCAGAGGGGCGGGGGCTGCACACACACACAAGGCAGGACAAGGTGGGGGAAACGGACACAGGGGTGTGTGATAGGGGAGGGGTGTGTGATCAGTGGAGGGTGTGGAAGGGCAGATGTGGATCGAAGGACCAGCAGCAGCACCAACAGCAGCGCCACCAGCAGTGGCAGCAGCGACAGGTGCAATCTGTCTAGAATACAGATACATGAAATCAAGCGGCAACAGGAGTAACAAGAGCAGCATCAGGAGCAGCAACAGGAGCAGCAAGAGGAGCAGCAACAGCAGCAGCAAGAGGAGCAGCAATCTCACCTCCAGCAGGGGCAGGAGCAGCACGCGCGGGCGCAGGAGCAGTGACCCAATCCGACATCCCTCCCCCCACCTCCAGCGCTGCACCTATCGGTTCATACGCACCAATCTTACCTCCAGCAGCAACAGGAGCAGCAATCTCACCTCCGCCAGGAGCGAGAGCAGTAGGCACACGCACAGGAGCAGTGACCCAATCCGGCATCCCTTCCCCCGCCTCCAGCGCTGCACCTATCTCACCTTCAACAGCAGCAACTGCCTCACCTCCAGCAGGGGCAGGCGCAGCAGGTATGGGCGCAGTGACCCAATCCGGCATCCCTCCCCCCGCCTCCAGCGCTGCAGCAATGGGATCATACGCACCGTCTCCTGCCGCTCCCCCCGCTCCCCCTGCTCCCCCCGCTGCTCCTCCCCTCATGCTCGCAGCAGCTGCGAAGGGATCGTACGAGGAGGGGGGTGTAGAAGAGGCGGTGAGGGGCGCAGCAGAGGAAGGGGCGACCGGGGGAGCAGAGGAGGGAGCTAGAGAGTAAGGGTTGTAGGGCGACGAGAGGGGGGGAGGAGCAGCAGAGGAGGAGGAAGGAGAGGTGGTGGGAGGCATAGGAGCAGGAGGAGAAGGGCCAGCACCAGCAGGGGCAGCGCCAGCAGCAGCACCAGCAGCAGCACCAGCCCCAACACTTGCACCAGCAGGAGCGGCATTAACAGCAGAGCCAGCAGGGGCAGTGGCACCACCAGCAGCTGAATACGGGTCATATGGCGGAGGCTGGTAACCCATGTAACCAGTAGATGGGGGATAGCTAGGAGCAGGTGAGTAGGAGGGCGCGGCAGAGGGATAGGCCGGCGCAGCAGCAGGAGCAGTGGCAGGAGGATACTGGCCCTGTGCCTGCTGCTGCTGCGGCTGCTGCGGGTTGTAAGGCTGCTGCTGCTGCCCGTAAGCAGGCTGCTGCTGCTGCTCTTGGCCGTACGGTGCCCCATACGGGCCCGGCTGTGGCAGGGGGTACTGGCCGTAAGGGGGCGGCTGGCCATAGGGAGGAGGCGGCTGTTGCCCATACGCCTGACCGTATCCCCCATACCCCTCCGGTGCAGCCCCAGAGTACCCCTGCGGTGGCCCCCCACCGCCTTCTCCCCCTGCTGCTCCTCCTCCTGCCCCTCCTTCCGCCCCACGCCCATCCTTCTCGTCCCTCCTCCTGTGCTCCCTGTCGCGTTCACGCTCCCTTTCCCGGTCTCGATCCCTATCCCTGTCTCTGTCCCTGTCTCTGTCTCTGTCGTCACGCCTATCTCGGCAATCCCGGTCGTCCCTGCGGTCCCGATCGCGCCTGTCCCTGTCCCTCTCTCGCACCCTCTCCCGCTCTCGATCCCTGTGCCTATCCCGCTCCCTCTCCCTCTCCCTATCCTTGCTCCGATCCTTCTCCTTCTCCTTCTCCCTCTCCCGCTCCTTCTCCCGCTCCTTCTCCCGCTCCTTCTGCCTCTCCTCCCGCTCCTTATCCCTCTCCTTACTCTCCTTACTCATAGCAGCAGCAGCAAGCCTGGCTTGAGCCGCCTTAGCAGCAGCAGCAGCCAGAGCAGAAGCAGTAGAGGACTTACCACTCCCACCTCCCTTCCCCTCCCCCTCACCATCCTTCACCTCCTCCTTCACACCCCCCTCAGCTTTCTTCTGCCCGTCTTCCTGCCCGTCCATCTGCCCGCCCGCTACCTGCCCCGCCTCACCTTCTTTTGCCACCTGAGACGCGAGGGCGGCAGACGGCACATACGTCCGAATCTTGCCCTCCATAGCAGCACCACCAGAAGCAGCAGCAGCACTCTCCCCACCAGCACCACCAGCAGCACTGGCAGCAGCAGCAGCGGCAGCAGCGGCGGCAGCAGCGGCTTCTTTTTCCTTCTCCTGCTGCTTCTTCCTCGCAGCTTCCCTCTCTTTCTCCGCCTGAAACGCAGACGCAGCAGCTGCAGCCACGGATTCAGCAAACGATTTCTTCCTCTTCTCCCCCTGCTGCTCCTCTTTCACCCACTTCGCCTGCCCCTCCTTCCCCACTGCCTCAGCCGTCACCTCGTTTTTTGGCTCACTCCCCAACGCATCACCACCACCAGCACCAGCAGCAGCACCGGCTGCAGCGGCAGCGTCGCGTTTAGTTGCAGCAGTGGCGGCAGCGACAGCCATGGCGGCAGGGGCGCTACCCGCCGCCTCCAGCTCCTCAGCCGAGCACTGCTTGTACTCCCCGGTGGTAACATCGTAACGGAACCACTGGCGCGAGTCCGAGTGGTAATACAGGTCTGAGATGGGTTGGAGGGGGTTGTGGGGGGGGGGAGGGGGGGGAGGAGGAAGAGGGAGGGGAGGAAGGGAGGGGATGGGTAAACGAAGGGGTAAGGGCAAATGGAGTATCTTGGTGTGCCGAGCCCTTCAGCCCAGCACTGCTTGTACTCCCCGGTGGTAACGTCGTAACGGAACCACTGGCGCGAGTCCGAGTGGTAGTAGAGGTCTGATAGGTGGGGAACAAAAGGAGAGGGGGTGAGAGGGAAAGAAAGCAGCAGGTTCAGAGGTATTAGCTCCCCTGCACAGCACTGCTTGTACTCCCGGGTGGTAACGTTGTAGCGGAACCACTGACGCGAGTCAGAGTGGTAATACAGGTCTGATAGGGAGGTGGGGAGGGGAGGGTTCGGGGTTTGGAGGGGGGGTGGAGAGGAAGAGAAGGGAGGGGTAAACGAAGGGGTAAGGGCAAATGGAGTATCTTGGTGCGCCGAGCCCTTCAGTTGAGCACTGCTTGTACTCCCCGGTGGTAACATTGTAACGGAACCACTGGCGCGAGTCCGAGTGGTAGTAGAGGTCTGGTAGGGGGGATGGAGGAAGGGTGGGGGGGGAAAGAGGCAAAGAGGGTAACAGGTTCAAAGCTATTGGCTACTAGCTACTCTGCCACCCGAAGCACTAGAAGCGCATAGGCACATACATGGTCCCCATTCATGAACCGCACCTGAGGCGCACATACATGGTCCCCATACATGAACCGCACCTGAGGAACTGTCGTAATAGGAGCTGGTGGTGCTGTCGTAGTAATAACCCAACGCCTCGTCCCACACAAAGCCATTGAAGCGCATAGGCACATACATGGTCCCCATACATGAACCGCACCTGAGGCGCTGTCGTGCTAGAACCTGGTGGTGCTGTCATAATAACATGGTCCCACGTAATACCCCTGACGCCTCATCCCACACACAACGCACATCCCTCACGGCAACACACACACGGTCCACTCAGCAACCACTTAACAAACCCCACCTGAGGCGCTGTCATAATAGAAGCTGGTGGTGCTGTCGTAGTAATACCCCGACGCTTCGTCCCACACGAAGCCACTGCCCGCCTGGGCCTGCTGCTCGCCCCCTGCTGCCCCCTCGTCATACTCCTTGGGCATCCACCCAGACGCCTCCATCTGTGGAATGGAAACGAGAGGAGGGTAAAGCAGGAGGGTAAAGCACAGACGATGATCAAGGGCGTGAGTGTTGCTGCTGCCCCCTCGTCATACTCCTTGGGCATCCACCCAGACGCCTCCATCTGTGGAATGGAAACGAGAGGAGGGTAAAGCAGGAGGGTAAAGCACAGACGATGATCAAGGGCGTGAGTGTTGCTGCTGCCCCCTCGTCATACTCCTTGGGCATCCACCCAGACGCCTCCATCTGTGGAATGGAAACGAGAGGAGGGTAAAGCAGGAGGGTAAAGCACAGACGATGATCAAGGGCGTGAGTGTTGCTGCTGCCCCCTCGTCATACTCCTTGGGCATCCACCCAGACGCCTCCATCTGTGGAATGGAAACGAGAGGAGGGTAAAGCAGGAGGGTAAAGCACAGACGATGATCAAGGGCGTGAGTGTTGCTGCTGCCCCCTCGTCATACTCCTTGGGCATCCACCCAGACGCCTCCATCTGGGAAGGGGCAATGAAGGCGAAGAGGGGGCAGAAACACGGCAATGAAGGTTGCGAGGCGCTGCTGCCCCCTCGTCGTACTCCTTGGGCATCCACCCTGCCGCCTCCATCTGCAAGATCGGGGCAGCAGTTGAGAGGTGGGTGAAGCACAGACGGTAAAAGGAACGGAAAGGCGGAAGGGAGTGCAGCTACGGCCTCGTCATACTCGTTGGACACTACGCGGTTGGTGCCTGCCACGCGCATTCGCCACTCGCATCACTGACCCTTTCCTTGAAATCAACACTCTTGGCCTTTCACCAAAAAAGACCCAATCCAGACCCAAACCAGACCCAAACCATACCTAAATCAGACCCAAACCAGACCCAAACCAGACCCAATCAGAACCAAACCAGACCCAATCAGACCCAAACCAGACCCAATCAGAACCAAACCAGACCCAATCAGACCCAAACCAGACCCAATCAGACCCAAAACAGACCCAATCAGACCCAAACCAGACCCAAGTCAACACACCTGAGCCATGACGTCAGTATCCTCAGCAGCGCCACCGCCAGTGGCAGCGGCGTAGGCAGCGGCGGCGGCATCAGCGAGCGGCGTGGAGGGCACTCCGTGGTTGGGGCCACGTGCATACGCCACTCGCATGACCGGCCCTCCCTTGAAGAGGCGCTTGTTGTGACATGTGAGCATGGCGCGCGTTGCTTGATCCACCTGGGAGTAGTAAGGGCAAGTACGAGAGAGGGAAGTGGGGAGAAGAGAATGAGGTGAGGGGCATACGCCACTCACGTGGCCTGCGTGAAATGAGTAGTTGTTCAGTTGAGTCGACTCAAAACACGACTCATTTCACATGGGGGGAAGCGAATGAGGTGAGCGCCACCCGCATGACCGGCCCGGCCCTCCCTTGAAGAGTCGCTTCTTGTGACACGTGAGCATGGCGCGCGTGGCTTGATCCACCTGGAGGAAAACAGAAGGGAAGGACGAGGGAGGGTAGTGGGGGGAGAGAATGAGGTGAGCGGCATACGCCACCCGCATGACCGGCCCTCCCTTGAAGAGGTGCTTCTTGTGACACGTCAGACGTAGCACAAGAAGCAGCGCGGGAACTTAATTTGCCGAGCGTGACGGAGGCGAATCTTCAGAAGATAACAAGGGACCAACCAATACATGCCGAGCGCAAGAAGCGGCACAGGAACTCACATTGGCGAGAGTGACAAAGGCGAATCCGCGTGACTTGAGTGTGATCTTATCGCGCATCATACGCACATCCTGGTGGCGCGCGAGGAGAGAGAGGGCAGAGAGACATAGGCAAAAGGGTAGAGGGTTCAGATTATAGTGATCTTATCACGCATCATACGCACGTTCTGGTGTGTGCTGGGTCATGCGGGCACGGAGGGAACAGTAAGATATAAGATAACACTACTTTTGAGTCGACTCAAAAGTCAATTTGAGAGTGATCCTATCACGCATCATGCGCACGTCCCAGTGTGGGGCGCAGAGGGGAAGAGACGGGCGCACAGAGGGCGGGATGGGGGCCAGATGGAAAGATGCGTGAGACTTGGGAGACCAATACTTGGAGTGTGCTCTTACGCGCGTGGTGTAAGGCGCGGGGGGCCAGAGAGAGGGCGGGCGGAGGAGAGGGAGAGGGCGGGCGGAGGAGAGGGGTGTACTTAAGATCTCACATCCGCTTAGTGTCACACTTGAACCACTTACAGTCACACTAGACTCAAAGTCACTCTATCGCCACTTACAGTCACGGAGCCATGCTGGGAGAACTCCTGCCTCAGGCTCTCCTCATGCACGCTGTCGTCCAGACCCCTCACTATAAGCACGTTCGACGCATCTGGACCCATGGCCACAGCAACCGCCGCCGCCCTCCCGCCTCCTCGGCCCTCCCACTCGCCGCCTCCTCTGCCTCGCGCCCCATATTCGCCTCCTCCCACGTCGACCCTGTCAGCAACAGTGACGGGATTGGCGGGCCTGCGGGTGACACACTGCTCACGGGAAAGGAAAGGGGAGAGTACGCAGCAGAAGGAGGAAAAAGGAGGTTGAGTGGAAACCATGTGATGCGATACGTTGAGTAAGAACCACATAAGATGGTTCCCTCTCGTGCCCCCACAACTTTTCCTGCCCTGAAGGGGCTTTAACAAGGGGATTCTAAAGCTGGGCAAAAAGCACCCACCTTGAAGCACTCGGAGCGGCGGGCGAAGTTATTGACACTGCAGGAGGGGCAGACCTAGTTGAGGGGCATCTGAAAGGGGCTTTTAGAAGGGGGGGGAGGGGGTGCCTAAATACGGACAAGACAAGAACACAGCTCACCTTGAAGCACTCGGAGCGGCGGGCGAAGTTATTGACACCGCAGGAGGGGCACACCCAGTCGAGCGGCTTCCCCGAGCTGCTGTCCGCAAGCGCGCCCCCGTCCTCCGCCCCTTGCAGCGGCTTGCTGTAGGGGGTTGAAAGAGAGCAGGGAAGAGGAGGGAGGAGAGGGACGACGACGGGAGAGGCGAGGGGAGAAGGGAACAGAGAGGCGAAGAGGGAGAGGGAGAGGAAGGAGTGGAAGAGACGAGGGGCGCGGGAGGGCGGAGGAGGCACAGGGGGAGGCGGAGAGATGCAGGGGAAAGGGGGAGGGGGGGAGGACGTGGAGGCGCGAAAGGAGAGGAATAATGAGACGCGTGTGCAATGTTAAGTCCTGAGCGCAGCAGAGCAGGAGACGAATGGCAGCAATTGCTGGGGCGAGCACTAGGTAGGTGGGACAATCTGAGAGGGTGATACGCGGGAGTAAGTTTGGAAGGGGTTAAACGAGAAACCGTTTGCTCCAACAACTGAGCGAAGCCTCGGAACCCAGCCTCTCTTGCACAAGTGGCATGACGCCCCTCCAAGTGGCATGACGCCCCTCCAAGTGGCATGACGCCCCTCCAAGTGGCATGACGCCCCTCCAAGTGGCATGACGCCCCTCCAAGTGGCATGACGCCCCTCCAAGTGGCATGACGCCCCTCCAAGTGGCATGACGCCCCTCCAAGTGGCATGACGCCCCTCCAAGTGGCATGACGCCCCTCCAAGTGGCATGACGCCCCTCCAAGTGGCATGACGCCCCTCCAAGTGGCATGACGCCCCTCCAAGTGGCATGACGCCCCTCCAAGTGGCATGACGCCCCTCCAAGTGGCATGACGCCCCTCCAAGTGGCATGACGCCCCTCCAAGTGGCATGACGCCCCTCCAAGTGGCATGACGCCCCTCCAAGTGGCATGACGCCCCTCCAAGTGGCATGACGCCCCTCCAAGTGGCATGACGCCCCCCCAAGTGGCATGACGCCCCTCCAAAAACCTCCTCAATAGTTTCCCAAGCCTCCATGGAGCGTAAGTCTCTTTTGTCTCCTGACTTGTATTGTATGTCTCACACCGATTGCACCCAAAAGAAAAGAGTCACGTGTATTGGAAACACCAGCGAATCTCCACATTCGAACGAGCCGCCAGCTCTCCATCCGCACTTCCTCCTGTTGCGACAACGCCCCGCGCCCGCGTCACAGCCTTGGCACGAGGCAGGCACGAGGCAGTGCGAAACCAAGAGCTGTGAGAGCAATGACTACGCAACTAACACGTGTGAGTGAGCAGTCCGATTTGCTCACAACAACCCAGCCCAGCCAGACCCGTGTCAGAGTGCTTATTAAAGTCCTTAATCTCCACCTGTAGTGGAACAAGAGCAAGCGGTCATCCATCTTTAGCTCCTTCGCCCTTCCACCCTCCACCAGCGCCTTTGCCGCCTCCTGGAAAGAGGAGAGGCGTTACGGTATGGGACGGGACAGGGGCGAGAGGGGGAGGGGGCAAGAGGGGGAGGGGGCGGGAGGGAAGGGGAGGAAAAAAAAGGACGGAGGGGATAAGAAAGGATAACCGGGAAGGGGGGTGACAAAGAACGGTCGCACTTGAACAACGAGAGGGGGAGCAAGGTTGGGGTGGAGAGTGATGAGAAAGAAGAGGCGAGGTTGGGGTACCGCGAAACACGGGTGGAGAAAGGAGGGAACGCAAGTGAGACCGCGGAAGTGTCATGGCCAAGGGGAATAGCGGGGAGAGGGCAGCGGCGTGCGGGAACGCAGGGACGGAAGGAGAGGGAGGGAGGGAGAAAAGGGGAGGGATGGACGGAGGGAGGACGTGAAAGGAGCAAACGTGAGGAGAACGGGTTGAATCAAGGTAATAAGGGCCACGTGAGGAGAATACGGCAAGAGCAAGCAGGAACCGCACGGAACCGCACTGATGACCAGCAAGCCTTGCTTTGCTTCTGGAATCGGGAAGGGAGAGAGTGAAAACTTCGCTAAGCCACTCCTGCTTTCGTGAATGACATAAGGGTTTCGAGCATGCCAAAACCTGAGCGAACTGTCACGAGAACGAGCTGGAACAAGCATGCGTGGGTGGAATAGTGGAGAAACAAATGATGCGTTGCGTCTACAGCAACAAGCAAGCACGAGAGGCAAGGAAGCCGCGGAGACGCACCACGGTCTCGAGGTCAACGAAACAGAAGCCCTTGTTGAACCCCGTTGCGCGCTCCTTGATAACCCGCACCTCCTTCAACGGCCCCCACTCGCCCTGCCATGGAAACACAGAACAGACACAGGCGATGCAACAAACACACGTGTTGATCAGCACAAGCCCTTCTTAGATCCCGGCGCGCTCCTTGATCACCCGCACCTCCTTCAACGGACCCCACTCGCCCTGCCATCGCAGCTAAGTACAAACACAGGCGGGATATGCTCCAGCTTGCGAGCAAGAACTACATACCTCCAAACAAACAGAGCGAGTGGTTCAATCAATTTCGCAGATGCAAACGCCGAGTCCAAAACAGGCGAACCCGGCAGCGGATGATGATTTTTTTGACGTCTCAAAAGCAGGTCTTACCAGCAGCGCGAAGATATCCGCCTCCACAGCCCACGGCGCAATCCCGCGAATGAGCACCGTGCTCGTCGGCTGCTTTTTAAGACGTCACATGCATACACGGCAGCAGGACTCACCAGAAGTGCAAAGATATCCGCCTCCACAGCCCACGGCGCAATCCCGCGAATGAGCACCGTGCTCGTCGGCTGCTCCGGACTGCTCTCCCTCCCGCGCCCGCGCCACCCGCCGAACCTCCCCCGCCCGTACGGCGACCGCGAGCGCGACGCCGATCTCCCCCGCCTGCGTCGCACGGGCGACCGCGACCGTGATCGCGACCGTCGCCTGCGAATCCTGGGCGACGGGCTCCTGCGCGTGGGCGACGCGGACCCAGGCTTCCTCTCCCGGACTGGGGACCTGGATCGGCGGCGGGGAGGGGAGCGGGACAGGGACCTCCCCCTCCCCCGACGGCGGAAGTACGGCGAGCGGGAGCGGGAGCGGGAGCGCCGGCGCTTCTCCCCCGCGCGGTCCTCCGCCTTCGTGTCCTTGTCCCCCTCTGCGGGCACCCCTTCCGCGCGCGCCGCTTCCGCTTGCTTCGCGGCAGCCATAGCCAAAGCCATTGCGAGCCCGGGGTTGACGGCGCCCACCTTAGCGCTGTTCGCGGCGGCGGCTAGTAACGCGGCCTTCGTTACAGCGGCAGACGCGGCGTTTGAACCGCCAAGAGCCGCGACCTGCGCCGCAAGAATCGGGTTACTCGCCAGCAGCGGGTTCTTCGCCGCAGCGGCCGCCGCAATCGCCGCCGCGGCAGAGCTCGCGCCGCCGGATCCCGTCGATCCGGTGATCGCGGCGGAGACTGCCGCGGCGCGCTGCTGCGCCGCCGCCAGTTGCGGGTTCGTCGCCGCGAGAAGCGCAGAAACGGCGGATCTGGCAGCAAGGATTTGAGACATAGCGGAAGTAGCAGCTCCGGTCTTAGCATCCGCACCGGCCGCCTTTCCCATTACCATCTCCACCTTGGGCTTCGATTTGCGCGGCGACTCGTCTTCGTAGATCGAGCTTGGAGTCGGCTTAAGCGGATCGTTGTATAAGCTCTGCGGCGGCGGGTAGCGATTAAGTGACGGCTTCGACGAACTATCGCGATCCCGATCCCGATCACGATCGCGATCGCGATCCCTATCCCGGTCCCTATCGTGGTCGCGGCCACGTTCGTCCCTGTCTCTCCCCCTCTCCTCCTCCGGCTGCTGCTGCTGACGTTGCTTCCACGGGGCTGCCGCGGACGGATCGGGTCGCCCCTCAGGAGGACGCATGCCACCTGGCATCTGCTGAGCTGGCGGATACTGCCCCTGAGCTGGCGGCTGTCCCTGCGCCTGCCACGGCGGAGGGGCGTACCCGGCCGGCGGCTGTTGCGGCGGGAGATGCGGCGGCGGCTGCTGATGCTGCTGCGGCGGGGGGTAACCAGGTGCCGGCCCGCCATACGCGGGTGGGTGCGGGCTGTAGCTTGTCTGCGGGGGAGGCGCGCCGGCGTACGGTGCACCGCCTCCGTAAGGCTGGTACTGTGGTGGCGGCGCGCTATAAGGTTGTTGCGGCGGCTCGTTATAAGATGCCGGTGGGGGACCTCCGCCGTAAGGGGGAGGCGGACCCTGGCTGTACGGCGGAACCTGAGGCGGACCCTGACTGTATGGAGGATAAGAGGGTTGCTGCTGAAACTGCTGCTGCTGCGGCGGCGGCGGCTGCTGCTGCTGCTGAGGAGGTGGATACTGCTGAGACGGCGGGGGTTGGTTGTATCGCTGATCCATGGGAGGTGGTGCCTGGAATGGGAGAAAAGGGGACACGCAAGGGAAGAAAAGGTAGATCAGGCGGAAACGAACTAAAAAGCGCACGAAGGGAAGGCCTCACGCAACCTACAATTCAACATCTATGGAAGCGGGAGAGGCAGAATCTTGAGAGAAGAACTAGAGTGTTAAAAAAAAAGGGTACGTAAAACTCGAGACAGACAACGGATGGAGGTTCCAGCAGGAGATATAGAAAAGGAAACACAGCCGAGGGACTATTGCAGAGGAATCAAACACCACGAAAAACGACGAAGATGAAAGGCGGAGGACTTGCCAAGGATCAACGAACGGATGAGGGAGATGGAATATGAGTGGAAACGTAAGGCTAAGGATCAAACGCGAGTCGAAAAAAAGGTTACGCAGCGTGGTGATTCAGCAGAACAATCTAAGCACTTGACCCCCAAGAACAAGCCATGTTCACATTTACGAGCACATGACGGAAAACAAAACTTACATTAGGATCCCAGCCAGACGGACCGGGCGGATAGCTACGCCGATCCATGGCGACTACAGCGAAGGACGATGCTCTGTCACCAAATCTGGAATGTTACCGACAGAACTAGTTTAGGGTTTCAGATGATCGAAGGGAAGGAGAATTGAGGTGAAGAATTCTGAAGATTGCAACCGAAGTGATGGGGATGAGGATGATGATGAGGTGGGGGAGGGCAACGGTGCAATGGTGGGGCCTGGGGCCTGGGGCCTGGGGTCTCGGCTCCAATATCCCTGTAACCAATTTCTGCAGTTGACGAGAACGGTTGTACGTTCGCGAAGATTCGCTTCTCCAGCAACGACAAAGGTTCACGGATGTATGGATACAAAGGAACAGAAGCATATTGAGAGCTGTACAGTGCGAATTCGTTTCTATCTGTAATTCTGGAACTCAAAACAATACTACTGTTACGGGTGCAATGAATCTAGGTAGCGAGGATTGCACTAAGGTGTCCAACGAGTACAAAATGTGAGCTAAGGCATGAGCGAACATTTATACGCGAAACATGCAAACGGTAACGCGGCGCGTGCGAGCTAGCTAGCGCTATGCTGGCGCGAGGTTCGGGCTAGTCCCGAAGCGTAGGCCGACTCGGCTGCTCCAGGAATGCGAGGTTTGGTGAAACAGTGCGCGCGAAGTTGGCAAAACCCCGTTAGCAGTAACGGGCGAACAACAGCTGCTGCCGTACGCGATGTTGTAGGTCGCGATGTTGTAAGGAATTTCGAGAAAATTCCTTACACTACCCCCCCCCCCCCCCCCCCCCCCCCTCAAGAAGCCCCCTCCGCTACGCGAGTGTGTGTATATCGCGGAAACCCCGGCTCCTCAGGTACACGTGCAGGGCAGGGTGGTTTTAAATGTTGGCCAAGGGCACCCAGCTATCCTCAGTTGGCGTGCGGTCCTTCCAACGAACGAGGAACTCGATCCTCCTGATTCCCGTAGGGTGTCGAATTCGGTGGCTCCGAATTTTTTCGGGCTCGATTATCGGTTCTGATGAAGGGCGAGTCATGGATGGCGGGCGGTGACGAGGCAGTTGGCTAGTGGTTGGGATGTAGGGGCGAAGCAGGCTGACGTGGAATGATGGGTTGATGTATCATTCTGTCGGCAACTGTAAGCTTGATGTCACTGGGTTGATCATGTGGCTGATTTGGAAGGGTCCACAGTAGCGCGGTCGTAATTTTGGCACGATGGGCAGTCTTAAGTTCCGTGTGTCCAGCAGTACGTAATCTCCTGACTGGTACGTGACTGGCCGGCGGTGGCGGTCAGCGTTGCGTTTAACGATGACATTGGCTTTTTTAATTGCTTCGGCGGATCTGATGCGGGCAGCTTGCAGAATCTCGGCAAATTGCTATGCATGTGGCGTTGGGTTGTCCGGACTCGGCGTCATGGGAACTGTAGGGTTTTGCCCATAGTTCAGGTAGAACGGGGATTGCTGCGTCGTTGCTGACGTGGCGTTGTTGTAGGCGAACTCGATCAGCGGCAGCTGCTGCTACCAAGTTGTCGGGTCGTCGCACGTGGCCCGAATCAACTGCTCCATCGTCTGATTGGTTCGCTCCGTTTGACCGTCGGTCTCGGGTGGTATGATGAGCCGAACTGTAGCCTGGTCCCGAACTGCTCCCAAAGGTTCTTCCAGAAGTTGCTGGTGAACTTCGTGTCGCGGTCGCTGATTATCGCGCCTGGTATCCCGTGTAGTCGAACGACGCCTGCGATGAACAAGCGAGCGGTTTCTTCGGTTGAGATCGATTTCTTGCACGCAGCGAAGTGAGCCATTTTTGTCAGTCTGTCAACGACGACCATATCCGCGTCGTTACCCCCAGGGTTCGAAGGTAACCCTGTGACGAAATCCATGGTAACCTGCTGCCAGGCGCGCTCGGGCGGTGGAATCGACTGCAATTGACCCGCCTTTTTTTTTGCGCGAGCTCTTCATCACCTGACACGTAGGACACGAGCCCACGTGGTGCTATACGTCGGTCAACAGCTCCGGCCAGTAGTAGTACCGCTGCAGTTGCTGTCGCGTTTTTTCTACCCCAAAATGTTCAGAGGTAATTCCGTCGTGTGCCTCCTGTAGTAACAGTTCCTCTCAGTAGTGAGTACGCGGGTACCCAGATGCGGTTGGTGCCTGTTTTTACTTAATAGACTCCTTTAGCTTCTGCCATTTGCTGCGAATTTCCGGTCGTGAAGAGTGGGTCGGTACTGTATCCGTGGGTGAATAGGCCTGTTAACAGTGAGTTGGTTTGGGCGAGTAGGATGGCGTGGAGTTGGGCAGTGGGGCGTGTGAGTGCGTCGGCGATATTTGATGCGCCTTTCTTGTACGTTACTGTATGGTGGAAGTTGGACTCCAGATAGTCCAGCCAGCGGATCTGTCGCGGGTTGAGATTCGGTTGGGCGCGAAGGTACTGTAGTGATCCGTGATCTGTCCGTTCCGTCACGTCTGCTGCCGTGAGGTAACATCGCCACACCTTGAACGCGTGCACGATCTGTCAGTAAAGCTGCACTGTGAGATCCCCAAATGATCTTAAGGGGGTTACAGGCATGTCAGCTTGGGGGGTTATGGGCGCACTGGCCCGCTACTGAAATAAGCCCTTTTATCCCAATGGTCTAGTGGTTGGGATTCTAACATGGTATCAGAGCGGTCTCGGGTTCGAATCCCGGTGTATGCACATGCAAGCCGTTGCCGCTGTGCTCAGTGCTGGGCCTCCCAGTGTGGGGGAGTGTCAGTAGAGCTGCACCGTGAGATCCCCGAATGATCCTAGGGGGGTTACAGGCATGTTAGCCTGGGGGGTTATGGGCGCACTGACCCGCTACTGAAATAAGCCCTTTTATCCCAATGGTCTAGTGGTTGGGATTCTGACACGATCGCCATCATCTCGCGGTCGTGTATCGGGTAGTTGCGTTCAGGCGGGTGAAGCTTGCGGGACTCGTACGCGATTGGCTGGAGGTCGTTCCCGAAATCCTACAACAGTACTGCTCCTACGGCGATGTCGCTAGCATCGGTGACGAGCTCGAACGGACGGTGCAGATCTGCGATGTGAAGTACGGGCGGCGAGCACAAAATTTGTTTGAGGGCCGAGAAGGCAGCTTGCTCTTTCTTCCCCCACGTGTACTCACTTATCTAAAAGCGGGCGGAGGGCTTCGTTCATGGTCATTTTGAAAGTGGTGGGGGCGTTGGTCAGTCCGAAGGGCATGAAGGTGTATTCGAAGGATCCGTATCGTGTTCGGAAAGCTGTTTTCGGGTAGTCGGGTGGGTTGACTCGGATCTGATGGTAGCCTCCCTAAAGGTCGATTTTCGAGAAAACCCGGGCTGTTCGCAGTTGGTCGATCAGTTTGTCGGCTTGTGGTATGGGGTAACGGGATTTGATGGTAACCTTGTTCAGTGCGCGGTAGTCGATGCACATGCGGAAACCCCCGTCCTTTTTCAATGTGAACAATATCGGTGCCGCGAAGGGTGACGAACTCGGGCGAATAAACTCTTTCTCAAGCAGATAATCCAGCTGCTTCCTCAGTTCGTCCAGTTCGGGTTGGGTCAGTCGGAACTGTCGCTGTACTGTCGGCTGTGCCCCCGGTTCTACTTCTATCCTGTGGTCGTGCGGTCGCTGAGGTGGCAGTCCTGTCGGCAAGTCATCCGGGAAAATCCCACTGTACTGTTTCAGTAGTGCTGCCAAGTCATCCGGTACGTTGGCTAGCAGTTTCTGTAAATCCCCCCCTTTGTCTGCTGCCTCGGCTTCCTAAATGTCGACCGTGTACACGTCAGCTCCTGCCACTACGGTGCGTTTCATTGTGATTGCATTGACATGCACCGATGAAGACTCAGGCGAGCCCCAGCGAGGTAAGGCGATGTTGTTACCGTTCACTCGCACAGTGCACTCACCCGTCGTCCAGTCGATTCGCGGATTGTGTCGTCGCAGCCAATCACGACCGAGTAAAATGTTGGTTCCGTCGAGGGTTGTCGCGAGCATTTCCTGGCTAAACGTGAAGTTACCCCCGCATCGAATCCGAACCCGGTCTACGCGTTCCCGTATCGCCAGTGGCGTGCCGTCAACCATTCTTGTGTCGATCTCAGGTAAGCATCTGTCCAGTGTCAGTCTTAGTTTCCGTGCTATGGCGGTATTGATCAGGCTGTGGCTGGCTCCCCTGTCTACAAATATTTTAACTAAGTCTGTCCCAATTTTCCCACTAAGCAGTATGGGGTGTTGAAGTAGGTGGCAGAACGAGGAGCCATAGCTAGGTAAACCCTTGCGAGGCAAGAGAAAATGGGCAGAGAAGTGGTTGCACTAGCAAGCTGGTGGATACAAATGGGAAACCCTAAGGGGCTGTACTCACTATAGAGTACCCCACTGCAGGCTAGACAAGCATTATATTCTGACACACCCCCATAGTCAAAGTGGGGTATAATCAGCACAGCAAGCAGGCATAGAGCAATAGTTCACAATGATAAGCAAAGCTAGAGGCTATCACAGAGGGCAAGTGAGGAGGAGGAGAGACTGTGGGGGAGAGAAGATGGGAGGCGACTGCTGAAGCTGCAGACACACAGGAGCTGCTGGCTCAGTGGCTACCGAAGCAAAGGCCCGGACTACAGGAGTAACTGGCTCCGCGGAGATTGTAGCCTCCTAACCGGAGCAACTGACCCACAGGCGACTGGCGACTACCGGAGATTGTAGCCTCCGGACTACTGGTGCTGCTGGCGACACGACGGCTGCCTCCACTCAACCTCCCCCAGCTGCCCCACGCCCCTCTCACACACCCCCTGCTGAAACCCTAGCTCCACTCCTACGGCACCCCCCTTAAACCCTAAACCCTAGGCTCCCACACACCCACCCCCCTCAGCGACAGCTGCAGCATGTTAGAATACTAGGCAGGGATGGATGAACTATGAAAGAGTTGGGTACAAATATGAAACCCTAGAAGGGGCTGTACCCCATATTGGCTACCCCACTACAGCTTAAACATATATAGCACATATATAATTTGACACACCCCCATAGGCAAAGTGGGGGAGAACAAGGGGTCACAAGACCAGT